ATAAATACTATTATTCTTATATGTATAGAGGTTATGTTTCTTCTATGTGTTTAATTCAAAATATTTATATATAATTTACTCTATAATATAATATTCTTCTGATTTATCTGAAATTTTCTCCATGTGGCGACACGTGCAACGAAGCTGTAATGTTTTCGAACAAACGTTTCGCGCGGTTCGAGTCGAAATTAATTCCCCCTTCGGTGTGGCAAACAGGGTCCCCGATTCAATCTCGACTAATGCGCTAACCTTATTCCGGGACTTCCAGTCGGAAACTACGGGGAAAGCGTGCGCCTTTCATTAACAAATTGCACCGAGTGTCGCCGAGACGAGGAAACATCGTTTGAACGAATTCTAAGGGAATTTCTGGTTCCGGTGTCGTGGCGTGAAATGGCCGGGCGAGAAATGATCAATTAAATTTTCGAAACATTGGCCAAGATAATTCGAGACTGCATTATCCTCGACAAGTAGCAATGTTATCGACGGATTAACGAGACTCAAGATTAATCGGTCAGATATTTGCCAAAATTAACTTTCCACTTTGTCATCGAACGAATTTTCGTACGATCGTTGATTGTATGATTTTTTCTTCTTTTTTTATCGTACAAGCATCCGCGCGATTCTCGATCGAGTCTCGATGCGAGGAAGATTTGCAAAGTTCGCAAAAATAGCGCAATCAACGGAACGAAGTGCACGTCCATAAGTTTGTTGGAATGGAATTGGAGTTCCAGTTTTATATGGGTTAAACGCGTCTGAGATTCGAGATTATCGACTAGCGAGGATCGGAAACGCTGGCCAAAAAACAAATTTCCAACATTAATCGTTCGTATGTCGCGACAAAATGTGTACATGAAGAGAATAATAATAATTGGAGAACATTTTTGTATCGCGAAATTGTTTCCAAAAATGGAACAATAATTTTCGAGAATCTTTTACAAAAGTTAGGTTAGCCACGATTTAAATCGTTATATCTCGTATCGATCTATTCTTCGATCGATTTATCCAGCGTATCTCGAATCGATCGATCGATTGCAAAGTTCGACGAACGAGAGAAAGGAGACAAGAAAGCAAACGGTGAAACGCACGAGCAAGGACCAGTCGATAAATTATTTTTAGACCGTTTGCTTGGCCCCAACGCGGAATTAACGATCGAACCTAGGAAACGAGGACGATACGATCGAGGTCAGTTGCGATTACCCTGCGAGGAAACGATACGTTTACCTTGAACATCGGATCTTTCTTGCGTCGACCCCTTAGCCGCGTAAAGGATATGTATGTCGCGTAAAGGGACGCACTCTTCGATTATATATCACTCCTTTCTTTAAATAATAACTCACGCGTGCGTGTCCGTCCTTCGTGACAATCGTGACAAAAATACAAATATTAAAATTTTCTTAAATTTTTGAAAACGAGATCATCCTGAGACGAAAATTTTATTCTCGAAGAAAACTTTCGATGTCGTGACGCTTAATGTTTTTTTTTTCTTTTTTTTTTTTGAATTCTATTATCTCATTGACTATTAAACGTATAATATTAGTTTAACACACGTACACACTTTTAATCGATATTTATAGAAGCTTTTCAATATTTATAGGCCGACGGTCTTGATATTTATAAAGGCGATGGAAGAGCGTGGCATTAAAAGATAAAAGAGAAGGGAAAAAAGGAAAAATATATACGACAGAAAGACATCAAATGAGCGATTACTTGTTTCTACCGAGTATACCGAAAAGAAAACAAAATCTGATAATTGAATATTTTCTCGCATCGTATCATTTAATATATCTTTGTTCCGGGCAAAATTGGAGAAAGCAAAAGGAAACGGTACAGGCGAAATGTACATAGTTTGGTCAGTAGGAGAGCGTGTGAACTTTTGACCTCGACACTAGAAGCGCGTGCCAACCCCAATAGGATCAACTTTCTCGAAACATTCCCTTCCTAACCTAACCTAACCTTCGTTCTTAATTATTATCTTCCAATTTCATTCGAATCTCGTCTTAAATGAATTATTGTCAAGAATAAAAATCTTTTATGTAAAAAACTTATTCTATATACTTATTGAAAATATGTCGCATCGAATAAATAATTACGTCAAATATAAAACAGGACGCGATGTGCTTGTTGTCTTTCTACCTATAGAAAGCTGAATCGTTTTTGCACGTACCGATAATATATACGAGGACAATCTTTTCATAAGGTTGCAACACACGTAAAATTGACAAAGTCGATGCGATATATATGTGTGAATGAATATGCATGCAGGTGGCAACATCACTGACGACTCACTGAAAATTTCATCTTTGAAAATGTAATTAATCGCGTACGTGCTTAATATCGAAGGAAGCAAGCCCTGCGTGGCTCGAGTATCCTCGGGTATCCTCGAGCATTCTCGAGTGTCCTCGAGCGAGGCTCGATCGTATGTTTTATAAAACTACAAATATGAACTGTGACCATCGACCTTCGATATACATCTACTTACACTGTTCGTTCTTTTGTAGCTTGTTAACTCCTTATTTAATCCTACACCTACACGGTACGTCTTCTTTCCGACAGAGTTTTCTAAGAATCATAAGAAAATTTCTTAATGATCGGATTAAATTCTAACCTAACCTAATTTAACCTGATTCGCGTAATAAATACATGATTAACTATATTTTCGCGTTCATATTTTCAAAACAACAAAACTTTTCAGATGTACTATTTAATTAAATGATTGTAAATCATTCATTGGTTTTTCGCATTTTTAAAATTATTAGAAAGAACAATCGATTTTTCTATCGTATTGTTAAGAAATCGAAATAATCGTTTTGCATTTATTTCGTTCGGAATCAAAACAAATTGCGATAGAAATGATGTCATAATACGAACTTCTTAACACTAAGCAATACTATGCTTACTCTATATCACAAAATATTGGCTTGCGATCATTTTAGTTTATATGTTCGATCAATTTATTTCGGGTAGCATGACTACATTCATAACAGTGTGTGAACAAAAATGTTATTACATGTTTAAAGTTTATATAGAAACAAAACATTAAAAAATCCAAATGACGTTTAATTCCAAGGTTATCCTTAACCTAATGAATTAGACGTGTAAATGTAATCAAAATTTTAAGCTTTAAGAAAAAAATTTTAAAAAAGAAATTTAACACACGATAAATATCGCTATATATTAATATATATATTAAATACTTGCTTGACATTTGATAAACAATTCGATAAGTATCAATTCAATATGGTTGATCAAATATCGAATAATAATATCGATAAAATATCGAAACAGTGAAACGTTTAGATCGAAAGACTTTCTCGAGATCGAAATAAATTCGATCGAATGAAACTAAAATGACATCGATTGACACAGACAAAAACTAACTAGATTTATTTCAATTATTTCGTATAACTATTCTATCTATTCGATTTGTTCTCATTCTACGAATTACGCTTATTATGAAAGTATAATTAATTTAGAAAAAGATTTTAATAAAAAGTTTTTTTTAGTGTCGTTCTCGATCTCTTTGTCATTGAAATATGAGATCTTTGAATATTATTCAATAATCTTATGTTTACTGACAAGTATACATAATAGTTGAAATAAAAAATGCGTTATAAGCTTCGTTTTATCGAATTTAACCATAATTTGAATCAACAATATGAAATTTATGTATTCTTATATTTCATTATAGAAGAAAATGCGATTTTAAAATATGAATAATCTGATATAGAGAAATATCTATCCTAGAATAAGATAATTTTCATTCGTGCAAAAACATATTATGAATCAAAGGATCGCGACAATGATGGATATTAACAAATTCAAGTGTTCATTTTCGCACAGAAATTCAAAGATTCCCGTTATGTCACTCGCGAATGCAAATTTGGCACATGACCAAAAGACTCACCGAAATGATGCTCTCTGGTAACGCGTCCGTTTAGAAACTTGGTCGCTGATTCGTCAATTCGTTTCAAAAATTAACCTGACCTTCTATTTGTCGGATTGAAAAAAAACTGCACTGTGAGATTCGGGAAGGCCATCCGAAATCAAGTCCAGGATGTAACACAATCAAGAGAAACGTAGTTAGATAAATATATGCGGAAAATAGTCGCACAGAAAGACGTCAACAGAGACACACACCCGACCGCGATAACTTTTAGACTGAGGGTTGTTTCGGCGCGATACTACTACACCGCCACCCCTCGACCAACCGGCTCACTAGACATCAGACCGACGCACCGCCAAACTATCGTGAACCAACGAAACTACGAATCATTCGACACCTCTTCTGCTACTAGAACTATTGTTTCGCGAAACGATTGGCTTTTATCTAAAATTCACACTAGTTTTTTTTATTCTTCGAGGTCGTTGTACTATTTCGAGTAAATATTTTCAATTTATTTTTCTTTTGATTCATTCTGTAAAGAATTTTATAATTGCTAATTCCTATTTAAATAGTTAACGTTGATTGAAAAATTAAATGAGAAATTTACTGCGAAAAAGGCAAGTTCGATATGCGATATTCGACGCGTCGAACGAATATCGTATCGTATCGTATCGTATCGAATAGTTTTTTACGTTTTTTCCAACGAGTTTATGAAATGTGATTGTCGTGCATTTATCCTGGTACACGTAATCTTACGATAACGACACTATAATTTTACACCGCTATACTAAATTCTTGCATAATTATGCCTAGCACCGTTCCATCTTTCGATAAGTTGCAACGATATATTGCGCGATTGGCATGCAAAGTTCACTCAACGTTGGTTATTTTCGAACACGTAAACTACATTCGATATGGATGAATTTCTTTTCTACAAAATTTTCCTTTTATTTCTCGGATGTGAGTATTCTATTTTCGCGAATACTTTAATGTGACAAACAAATCTAGTTTCGTATTACAAGCGGGAAGAGCGGTGTAATTGAAATTTAAAAAAACAATTATTTGACAAAGTTTTCGAATATCTTCTTAGTGAGAACGAGCGAACAGAAACTTTCTTCGGAAGATCGAATCGTCGATGGAGCATTTATCAACATCACGAATGTTCCGTATATGGCAAGTAACTATATCTATTTTCTTTTTTTTTTTTTTTTACATTAGAAAAAAAAGGTTCCTTTTTCATACATAACTGAAAATTCATAAAGTTAAAAGAAGAAAATTAATAAAATGATTCTTTATAATAGTTATCGTATAGAGTAAATAATAATCATGCATGCGGTGCTGCTATCATTAATAAAGAATGGGGATTAACTGCCGCTCATTGCGTTACTCCGTAAGAAATGATTTTTTTTCTTTTTTCCAAAATCAAGCTTCTACTCTCCATTTTATCATATTTAATATCATATAATTGATTCAACAGATTTGTCGATAATCCCTCAATTTCGCTCAGCGTCCGTAGCGGATCTAACAGACACGATTTCGGTGGAATTATTCACAATGTAACGACATTTTCTTATCACGAAAAATATAATGAACAGAACAACGATTACGACATTGCGGTATTCAAAGTTTACCCGCCATTCGATTTTAACAACACGACGCAACCCGTCAAATTGCCTGAGAACATTGAATTTTTTAACACAAATTGGGGTTTAATTGCTGGTTGGGGTTACTTTATCGTAAGTTCATTTATATAATTTAAAAAAAAAAAAAAAAAAAAAAAAAAAAAAAAAAGAAAGAAAAACAAGGAAAATGTAACTGAAAAAAAAAAAAAAAGAAAGAAAAACAAGGAAAATGTAACTGAAAAAAAAAAAAAAAAAAAAAAAAAAGAAAGAAAAACAACGAAACTGTAACTGAATAATAGAACTTATAGGATTTCGATCCGATGTTATCGGAAAAGCTACAATACGTTATCGTACCGAAAGTGAAGAGAAAAAGGTGCATAAAGGATTATAAAGGCAGATATGAAGTAACAGAGCGTCAAGTCTGTTATGGATTTTCACAAGGAGGGAAAGATGCGTGTAAAGTAAATTATAATTTATTTTAATAATTAAAATTGCTGATCATTGTTTAAAATCCATTCTGACTAAGTATCATTTTATAATAGGGTGATTCCGGTGGTCCACTGGTTAATAATTTCACTGTAATCGGTATAACTTCGTGGGGCTACGAATGTGGTGTACCAAACTCACCCGGCGTCTACACCAATGTGATCGATCTACTAGGATGGATCAAAAATAAAATTAGATCGTTTCAATGATCTTTAATCAATCCGGTTTTGCAATTTGAAAATAATTCAAAAATAAATATCTCTTATATAAGAAATTCATTTCGTTGAATTTAGCATTAATGAAAAACTATAATAATCACAATATTCGTTACGTTTGTTTGATATCTCTCATACGCTTTGATTCGGTATGATTAACTCGACGCTTTTTTCATCACTGGATATAACAAATCTGGCTTTCTTATAGTTGGAAAGATTCATTTTCCTCTGAGTTGACCACACTTCGTAACCAAGTTTATAAAACTTTGGTAAACGATCGAAACCTCCAGCATCAGCCAACGAATCGTTGTATTCCCATTGTTTGTTCATTAATTTGTGCGCGTGTCTTTTCTTCGATGTCTTCAATTTTGAATCTTCCAACATAATTAACCTCGCCGGTAAACTTATTCTTTTCTCTAATAGTGCAAGAAAATACTGTATCTAAAAAAAAATATATATATATATATATATTGTACAGATATCGCATATAGTTCACGTATTTAATAATTTAATTCAATATATCAATTATTACCTGCATATGAAACATGGGAAATGGAACAACAACAGTCGGTATACCGACGATACACATTGTAGGATGGTTGATATTAATTAAATGTTTATATAAAGGAGTTATAAAATTGTTATCCACCTGTATTTCACAAGTTTCGTCTAAAAATGGAAAGCTATATCGATATCCTGTGCAAAACATGAATACGTCCGCTGTAACAAAGCTTTGATCCTTCAAAAAAATTTTTTCTCTCTCTATTCTCTCTACGCCTAACACCTCGATTATGTTCGATGGTAAATTGCCATTTAACCTGAACGTGATGAAAATTTTTAGTAGCTGCAAACTATGTTTGCACAATCGTCGTGGAATGAAACGATTATAAATAAATAATACCTTTCGTTATTGTGGCTTAAATATATTCGAGTTACGTGATTAACCAAGTCAAGAGCAATATCGATTCCAGAAGCTGCTGCGCCCAAAATTAAAACGCTCTTACCGGAGAAATCTTCTGGTTTTCTGTATGAATGACTATGTATCACATTACCCGAAAAACTTTCCATTCCTGGTATCGTTGGAACATAAGGATCGAAATAATGTCTAAATTATATAATGTATATATATAAAAAAAAAAAAAAAGAGAATAAAAATTAAATCCTTTTAATCGTATATCGTTAATATTAAATATTAGGGGAAAAGACACACCCATTGCAAATAATCACAGAGTTAAAAATAATCTCTTCCTCTTGCTTCGTTTTTAACATTTTTATTCGGACAACCCATTCTTCTTTGTCTTCGATTGATTTTTTTAATCGGACAGATTCTACCCTTGTATCGAACTATAATATATTATATCTTCTTAATAATAAGTAATTAAGAATTTTCGAGTATTTATAAACGATATACGAGATATACTTTGCTCTTACTTGAATATATTTCAATAAATCAAAATGTTTCGCGTAATTTTGTAAATAAGTTCGAACTTCCTGATGTGTCACGCAACAAGGTTCTTCAGCGTTCAATCTCTGGTAATCAGGAAAATTCATAATTTTTGCTGGTAAATTGGTTCTATAATAAAAAGTGAAAATTTCAATATTTGAATTTATATTACACAAGTACATTTCTATAAAATTAATGAAAATATTGCATGAAGTTAAACCTTAGATCCCGATACATGCTCGAATGAACAGGCAAACCATTTTCATCGACTTCAGTTGCTTCTTTGTAAATCCATGTACCGCCGATATCATTTGTTTGTTCATAAACTTTCAATTCGAAATTTGAATTTGGAGCGAAATGTCTTGCTGCGCAAAGGCCTGCTGCGCCAGCTCCTACCACGCACACTTTCGGTCTCGATAATTCAGCCATATGCAATTCGTGCGTAACCTATGTGCTAGTAATAAAAGTTTGATATCATCGAAGGAACTAGAAATTTTTCTACAAAAAAAAAAAAAAACGACGATTTTTTTTACATCCTTCAATATCAATATGTAATATATATAAATTGATTTCAATGTACTTATAAATGAATTCATAAAAAATTAAAAAATAACACCTACAATTGTCATTATTTCATACAATAATTATTTCAATTGAATATAAAATTATTTATATAGTAAGTACAATTGTATTTACAATTTGAAAAAGAGGAAATCGAAAAGGAAATCGCGAATTACTGTTATTAAAATATCTAAGTGTTATCTTTGCGAGTATATCGAAAACACGAAATAGCTTTTGGCTAAATCTACAGTAGCACTTACGACTTACACTGTATTATAAATTTAAACGATAATATTTTATGCACCTAACACGAAAGAGTTTGAGTTCGACAAAATTATAGTTTTCGTTCGTTGCTCTCTTATTTTATATCCTTAAAAAAAGAAGGAATTTAAAGAAAGAAAAAAGAAGTAGAAACGGAAAAAATAAAAAACCTCAAACTTATCTATACAATATTATCACAATCACAACTACTATGCGGTTTGAGAAATGACACTTTTGATAAAATTTTCAACATCTGTAAACATACATATCTTATATTTAAACTATTCCAACAGTGGAAGTAAAATATTTATTAGTAATATTTCTTATAACATTACCATGTAAATAATCATAACATTAACTTCATAATCTATATTAATGCTCGATTTTTATTATATACCTAGTATTGAGCAATTAATTGTAAAAATCTCCTTGTTACAATGGTATATTTCTGTATGTGTTTTCAGTCGATATCATATCAATCAAAACGAAGATATTAAATAATTTAATGATTCTATGTATGGTGAATTACTTTTATGCACATATATCGAATGAAATACGCAAATTTTTTTAACTAATTTACACTAATTTTTTAAAAACAATGTTAAATAATCAATCTCTTTAACTTTCGTTCGTAAAACATTCAAAAAATTCAAAAAAAAAAAATATTCAAAACATTATAAAATTTAAAAATATTGTATTATATTGAATGACACAAAAGAAATTGTTGTGTCATCAATTTTGCTTCGTTAAAAATACGTTTAATCTCGTTCAATGGTCGAAATTAGGCTGTATGTAGTAGAAACCGATATACATATAAAAAGTTTCTCATATTTTTATCCTTGTGGCTCGTTTCTTTATCAATGAATTCCTTATTATTTAACTTGATTATATCTTATTTGTTTTTTATAATCGATTTGTACGACTAATTTCTATATATAGATCAAATATATCAATTTACCTTCAAATAAAAAGAACAAAGAAATCGTAGGATCTGTTCCAATCACTTATCAACAATTTGCAATTCATCATTTCACAATTTTTTGTTTTGTTCATCGAACATCGATATATCCGATTTTTTTACATTATCACAATAAACATCAAACGATTTGTAACTAGTACGTGAAATTCGCAACAATTTTTTATTGAAACGTGCTTTTATTTAACTGGGAATGCAATGTAAAAGTTTGACACTATCAATCATCATTATGTACAAATCGTCATATTGCTTATTCGAATTCATTTTTTTTTCTTTTCCTTTAATAATAACAAAAATTCATCCTTTCTTTGCGTAAAACATTCGATTTTATAAGTTTTGTGATTTGTTTTTTTAAATCATCAGCAAACTAGATTAATAGAGAAAGCTTAATGCTAGTAGATACACATAAATATACACAAAAATAAACTCGATCTAGAATCCATGATGATATAAAATTGATCAAACAGTATAATAAAAAATATAGAAATAAAAAAAAAAGTTACTAAATTATAAATAAGAATTCCTTTTAAATAATGATACAATACATTAAAAATTATGTATGCAATAAATTTCCAACTTGATTTCTTAATTCTTTTTAAAATATAAAGATTCAAAAAAAAAAAAAAAAGAAAAATATTTTTGATCAATATAAAAATAAAGATAACATATGATGCAATATTACTGATTGACATTGTTTCATTTATATAATAAAAAAAAAAAATAATAAATAAATAAATAAATAAAAGTGTAACGTTGTATCCTCTTATTTCGAAAGACCATTATTTTGCTAAACTTTATTCCTCGATAAAAAATAATCTCGATTCTCGTCTCTCTTACTTATTCTCAGTCTATTTCGGTATAATATATCTGTAATCACTATGCATATTTCTCTTGTATGCCGAGATTTAATTTAACGTTAAATATTAATATTAGTTAGTGAAAATGGAATTCTTATAACGGGTACAAATTAAAGAGAGAATGATAACAAACATGTTTTGTATGCTTAAACATTGTACGTACAATAATGGAAGAACAACTGAAAAGATATTTAGCAAAAACAACAGACAAAGAGAGAGAGAAACAATGCTAACGTTAATCTTATTCGTTTACAAATCGACATAATTAATTCACTTTAGCCGAAAAGATGTCCACTTTACATCGCTCCATACTTTAATCGTCGAATATATAAATATTTTCAATCAAATATACAACGCACACAAACTCGTTAAAAATGGCTTCATTCTCTTTTCCTTCCCTTCGCTTGTTACTTTTTTTCTCGATATTAACGCACGTATCATGCACGTACGCGCCTTTTTTCTTTTTTTTTTTTTTTTTTTTTTTTTTTTTTTTTTTTTTTTTTTTGTAACCGAAGAAATTTTTGAATTCGTTAAATCTATATGTAAAATTTTTTAGATAGTCATTGTCTGGAACACGCGTCTATCTATCCCCGTTCATTTATAAATCGAACAAATCTCCAATCTATTCCCCTCAGTTTCGTTATCTTTTATAATTTGATCCCATTTATGAAGATGCGCATTCTCATTCTCGTGAATAAGAAATATCTTTCGACGAGGGATAGGATCCAATATAGGCACGTTTTAAGTTAACTGTGTTTTCTGGGAATCGGAAATTCGATCCGACAAAAATTCGTTACTAAGGGCGTTCACTAAAGGGCGTCCTTTTTTTTTTTTTTTTTGTCGTATCAACATGCGTCACAAGTGTCCTTTTTACATTCCTAAAATGTTTTCCTAAAATGTCAAGAATACATGTATGTACATATGCTTTGGCAAATGTCCTCTTTCCTTTTTCTTTTTATTATTATTATTATTATTATTATTATTATTATTATTATTATTTTTATTATTATTATTATTATTATTAAAACTACTTCCCTCCTCGTGTTTCGCATTTACTTACGTTACACGTATCAAGAAAAAAAGAAAAAAAGAAAAAAAAAAAAAACTCGAGCGAACGTTGATTACAAATTACACGCATCAAATTTCACTCGAGTTAGCCCCAATTTTTTTTTTTTTTCTCGTCCATATTATGTCATACGGACGAAAACGGATACATTCAATTGTATTCTCGCAAGAAGGTAAATAAATTGTTTTAAAAAGACTCATCGTCAAAACATTATTCTCATACGATAAAAGTAAAATATTCAAAATATATATCAAACAATTCATTTCGATTTTTTATATACAAGATATCTTACTCAATAATCGTATAAGCACACCATCTATAGATAGATCGAATAAAGAAAAATACAAAAGTTAATATACTGTACAATTAAAGGAAATGGAAAAAAAAGAGAGAGAGAGAGAGAGAGAGAGAGAGAGAGAGAGAGAGAGAGAGAGAGAGAGAGAGA